TCTTTTCATCAAATTTATCTCAATTAGATCATTATTTTTAACAATGCCAACGGCCACACGTGGTAGACGGTAAATTTTCAAATGACTCTCGTGTATGACGTCGTTCTAGAACAGATGGAATCGCCACGATGGATCAATTTCGTTTTGATCGCAGACTTCAGATACATGGGAATTCAATAGCTGATGCTCCCATATGTAGAGGCCCTCTTATATAACTAACTGCGTTGTATGAACCAACGATGGAAAGTTATCAAGGAAGATGCTGAAGACGGCAATCAGATTGAGAAGCTGTTTTCTTGATTCTTCGTTTTTGATTTGGAGGAACTTAAGACTCTGCCAACGTAACGCTGCTGACTTTCGAAGCTCCTTCAAAACGCTTATACAACATAAGTTCATAATCAACCTGCTTAAGGTAATTCATCGTAATTATGAAGTAGTCACTCACTGACATCCACTTAGCATGAACTGTTAAACCAAACATAAGGAAGATCTGCAGCTTGCCTGACACTTGTGATGTACTTGACAAATTAATTGCTGCTAGCCAAAATCAGAGTGCAAACATGGCTAAAATCTCCAAAAACTGGAACCATTTGAGGAGATTGAGCAACTTCATCCTAAAGGTGTGCATTTATATGAACCCCTCAGAATTCAAAATCCACTCGAGAAACATTTCCCTAATCTTTCCCGCTTAATGAAAATTCAATATTCTCTTCACATATTGGTTAAGTGACCTCTCCTAAATTACTTTGGGGAGTACTTAGGGAGCAAGTTCTCGCCCTCACTTCATCTCTTATTCATTTTCCGATGGGTAGGAAGTAAAACAGAACCTGAAATTTTCAAGTCACTACCAATTAAAAAGCTCAATGTCACTTCCTGCCATCTAAAGTGATAGCATTTATAAGCCAATGGACAAATATCCAAACTGACTTTCCTTTGATTTCCCAATACTTTCTACGTCATTAGTCGACGCTAAGCATTTGCTTGGATAAACGAGCGTGATTCCAAGGCTAGCATTCACTGCAGCAATACTGTCCTAGGTATGGTGTTAATGTGTGCAAAGAAGTAAGGAAAAGCAAGTCCTAGCCATCAAAAGACAATTTCCACGCTTAGCCTTCTTTCCCACTGGGCTATAGCCCAGTCACCCTTGCTGACCGGAATCGCACGCAGAACAATGGTCTTTCAGAAATGCGATCCATCCTGTCTACAACGCAGAAGATAAATAGAATCTTCATACAAACACACAGATTTGAAGCTTGTTTCTACTGTTGCAACTCAATTGATGAATATCTGAGAATGGTGCATGCACACAAAAGGTTACAAACTTTCGATCCATTGGATACCAAAGTAAACAACAAATACAGCAGTTTGAATTCACTTTACACAACTTTTATCATTAAGGTATCAAAAGAGTTCACAAATGAATAATCCCATTTTCTTGCGATGCCAACTTGATTAACTGATCTTAATCACAGAAGTTCGCAAATGTTAGTTGAGGAATATCTCAACCTCGAAGACCGATCAAACCACATATCCATACAGAGAAAATAGCAAAACTACTTGGATACGGTTAGTTCAACCCAAATACTAAAACAAACTGCAATTTTGAGCATCATATTTTCCTAACGACCTCACTCTTCCTTATTCTGCATGCAAACACAGGGCTCTTTGAGAGAAGATTATTGACTGCTAACTAGCAACGCTCAACAGCTATAGAGAATCCCTAGATGATCTCCTCAGTCAAAGACCTGAAAGATGAAGGCTACTAATGGTTAGTTCAAAAGGGCAGATATTTAATCCATGCTGTAACATAGTTATTCAGTAAGAGCGATTTTCCGCCAAGCCAAATTAATGCCTTGTTGAATCTTCTGAAAGGCTCGAATTGCCAATGTAGTCAAATCGTTTATACCTCAAGTAACTAACCAATGCAATGCTTCATGTCAATAAGTAAATGGAACCATGGTCACCCAGGGGCTGCTGATCAAAGCAAAAACGCCTCGCTTGACGTGCTCTACTAAATAGGTAACTCTGCTAACGCCCAACGTCGTTGAAGCCTCTTCGACCACGACCACGACCACGACCACTACTAGAAACCTCTTTTGCCCTTATTGTGCAGCTGAATAAACCTTAGTATTTGTTGAGTTGCCAATAGACAATTTCGTGCCCGCCTCGGCAACTCTAGCCGGACACAGTCTATTTAAATCAGGTAGAACCTCGTCGCCTGGCCGTACCATCCCTCGTGGTCTTCGTGGTAATCTGCAGTGTAAGCCTTCAGTACGTAGAGTACGTGTAGAGACGCAATTTTAAAGTACACTAAAGCCGTGATTGTTCAGCAGAACGCCGTGGAGGAGGCACTGATAGTTGAGCAAATTTAGAGTGCCTCATATCCAATGCTTCTAAGGCAATAAAGAATAGAAGACATAAAAAGAGCACAGCATCCATTTGGCAAATTCCGGATCGGCATTCACACGGCATAGGTGGACCAACTTCCATCAAAGAGCTGAAACCTATTGTAGTTCAACAACAATCAAGCCGTTTGCTTTGTGCTGAAAATGACGTTCCTTTTTCAAGAACTAAACTGACCAAAAGTAATACAGTCAGACGAAGCAACAAACCTAATTCTAGGAAAATAGCTTTCTACATATTACAATTTTATTGTAGTAAAAATCACACTCATACCTTAGTAGACTGAGTGGCTATCAACACACTAACAATTATAATGAAAAAGTTAACTGGAGCAATAAGTCTATTAAATGTATAGAGTAGTAAACGAATGCACAATCCCAAGATTGAGGAAGAGGTGCACTCACGCACGCGCATACACACGCACACATCGACATTCACGCGAACAAAGGCAAATTGGAATAAAGAAGCGATTTTCCGACGAACAGCACACTTAAGCGACCTGGGAAAAGTGGGCGAGAAGGGCACAAGGAAATGGAGCAAAGTAGAAGTGAAGTGCATGGACAAAAGAGTGGCGAAAGGCACGCACTTTCCGTGATGGGGCTAGGGGAGGGGTTAGGATACGGCGAACTTAAATCTGAAAGCACTGAAACGATGGAGGAGGTGTGGAAGTTTTGTTCTCTAATGAGTTGACCCGTCAACAAGGCGAATGAGAATCTTCGCGTAACCATGCAGTTCCGATTCCACAGGAACCTGACCTGGAGCCGGGGGCGAATTCTATGCAAGAAAGGCGCCAATAGGCCTGTCAATCTACCTTTTGGGGACGTGATTTAATTCAATTCTGACATGTACTCAAGTCATACCAGTAGCGTTTTTCCGCTAAGTATAGCACCGAAAGCACACAGAACGTTTCAATTTGAACAGTACCTAAGTGTAAAGAGCTGATGACGGACTCACTACCGCTAACTATATAGAGTATTAGCCATTTCATGGGACTCCATCCAATTCTTAGACCAAGAAAGACTTACCAGAGGGAAGCAGTGCTCTCGCTCGTTTGGATGCGCAACAAGTTCACTCATGTGGTGTGCAACTAGGAAACAACAACAAAAGATGAAGTGGTTGGCTAAGAGACCTATCTAAAGCATTGAATTTGACAGAAAAAAAATACCTAGGAGAAGATCACAGCCATCCAGAAGATCAGCTTCAACCAGTTCCCTAGCCAGGACGTCAGCCGAATCTAAATCATAAATCAGGCGTTAGGAAACATCAAACACTACTTCCTTCATGGGACAAGAAATGGATTACTTAGTAAGCACTCGTAAACAAGTGGGCTTTGAGATGAGGATGATTGTTGAGTAAACAACTGACCATGAATCCTGACATCATCATCATCATCATCATCGTAGGAGTCCCGATATAAATAGACACATGCGAGCAATTCTGAAGTTTACCTTTCCCAATGACATAGTTGAAGCTGATATCCTGAAGTTCATTTCGTTGACGAGGATTCCGCTTACGCAAAGTGAGGCGGTAGTAAGGACCAGTTGGCTACAATCAATGATAAAAACAAAGCACAAACAATAACTCAAGAAGTTTCCAAGTTTAGCTGGTTTCATGGGCATAGGCCCAAGTCTGTAGTTTTGAAGCGGTGAACTTGAACTACCCTAAACATAAACAAAATCACAATCGGCGACTGTCGCTGTAATGACACGCCCTAACACTGGTCTCAAAAGAGCTAATGAGGGGAATAATGAAAGAGAAATGGAACCTCAGAGGAGCTGCCCTGTTCACCACCACTCTGGTGGGAAAAGTTCGTAATGTGTCCAAAGCTGGGTTGGTTCGTTTGGGGAGAGGCCGGAGTTCCGGCAGGTACAGGAGGGGGATGCGTGGGTGACGTCCCCGAGGTTGACGAGCCTGAGCGCGGCGGAAGTGGCGGTGGAGCAGCAGCAGAGCCAGAGGGAATAGTAGTGTTTTCATTATTGTAGCCACCCTGACCGCCTTCGTCACTGTCATCGTCGCTCGTGTAGTAGTGGCTGGAAGACGCCTGTCGACCCAATGTGTCAAAATTCCACTCTGTGCTGACATTTTGCTGGAAGGAGTGGAGGCCATAAAAAGTGAGCAGAGCAAGTACACCAAGTATATTAATCGAGACTCCCTTAAGTGTCACTGCCTTATGCCAAGAGCAGAGCAGAAGATCTGGGACCCCTAATACAAGTTAAGTACAAACCTGCCAGCAAACCAATGCTACCAATAGCGAGAAAGTGTGTTGGTGGGACACCTATCAGGGCTTTTCTCCACACTATCCTTCTGATATGAAAATTATCTGCAACATCAAAATTGTACAGGGAAAAGGGAGAATGATGACCCGAAATTCAGCGTATAAAAATGTGATTTCAATGCATTAACGATACAATCGATAAACCAAGAGGACAGAAAAGTATTGAGGCAGAAATATAATGGATATAGGGCTCGGAGACGCAAGAAAAGAACAACTGGTAATATTAGAATGCACCGGCACGAGGACAGTAAACATTGATTTAATTTGTACCAACTTTTCTACATGAATAAAAACCCATCAGCGACCAATTCTTCTTAATTAAATAAATCGCTACTGGGACTCCCAGATTTGTGCGAAACAGCACGTCCTCGATGAAGCACACACGCGATGAACATCACCGAATATGGAATTACATCTCCACACAGTAAGGGTCTAACCACCGTTACAGAAGTGACTTGGTAGCCGTAATTACATACAATGAACACAGCATGTTGTGGGTGCAAACAGTAAACTCACATTCAGGCTGAATTACATACACGCAAACTTTTGCACTGAAACAAACATCTCTTACACGATTTCACTAATAAGCACTTCGAGTAAACCAGAGAGTAATAATGAAAGAAATTGCAAAAGCACTGCTCGATAAATTTCAACAGTTTAAACGTGATATTCTACAATGGTCTATGTCTTACTTGGACAAGAATGAATAGTTCAGGAGACATGCGAAGTAGCACTTTTTGACACTACCTCTTTTAAGTGAGAGCAACAATAAAGAATCTCCCTCGTCCCCTTGCACATTTTACAGCATCTAATTACTCACAAACGTGCGAAGAAGGCAGCATAATGATGCTTCTGCTCGTAAACTATGCACTTATCTATTTAGCTTCAACGCTTAGCGCTTCAGTCACCCACGTAGCTGGTGGTATCTGCATACATGCATCTAATTAGTCTGTGTCAATGCCTATAGATTGGGGAGAGAAGAAAGGTGAAACAGAGGAATGAGAGCTTTTGAGGTAGAGGTCACCTTGTCACGCTTTTCGACCCGGTCCTCATGATGGCGATTCTGTTTCAGTGGAGGAGTCGGAACCTCGCCACTCAGCAACACGCGGCACAGCAACTCTCGATCCTGCGAGGAGACAGAATAAAATGCAAATCGGCACTGCTATGGCTTGGTCATTTATTAGCTAGTTCATTAATAACACAGCCAGTCGTAAATTTGCCTCCTTCCCATGTCTATAAAAGAAGGCAGCCATATGATTCTTGCGAAATCCTAAAACGGTAGACATTGGAGAGCAAGAGGCTTTCATGTCCAGATGACCAAATTTTATGCCATGCTATAGGAGTGCGAAACAACCACACCTACTTGGCGAATGGTGAGTGTTGATCCGTAAGCCCGTTGAAAGTAAACAGAAAATTAAAAGAAATATGTTCAGTATCAGTGAAGCAAATCTTAACATCTCTGAATGTCGTGCCATCAACAAACCTTAGCCTTGGATTTGATATAGGAGTGACTGAGAAGCTCCCTAGCAGTAGGCCGCTGATTAGGATCCTTTGTGAGACAAGATCGGGCAAATTTCCGGAATTTATGACCGTATTCGACATACTGATTCGACACCGTTGCCACCGTATCGATATCCGGTGGATCATTTTTCAGTGTTAGCATTAACACCTTCCATAAAAACAAAAAAATTGTAAAGTTAAATGTCACGCACGATTGTAGATTAAATAACCTCATGTGCTGTCTGTGAGGACACAAATGGACACGAGGCACGCATGACGAAGTGGACGTCAAACTGAACTTTAGTGCAAATAGACAGTTGTAGAAGCACGAAGATCCACTTTAAACCAAGAAAATAGTTTTTAATCCTTAATAGAACTACGGACGATTATTTAAGAGACGGTTCACCACAACCTACTTCTCGTCAATGATGGCGAAAAACGGTAAATACACATCTGTACGCGAGGCATACACACAAGTGACAATCAAACTATGGAGTGATAAATTAAAACGCAAATGACAACAGCACCGGCGACCAAAATCAGTCCAGTACATTCAGTTCTGAGTAAAACATAAGTTTAATCTGTAGAAGAGGATGTCAAAACCGACCTTACTGAAATGTTACGGTGAAAAACAAGCATACAATCAACACAATTTAACCTGCAGAGCATCGCAATCAGAAGATTAAATTGTGCCTCCATGCTACAAAATGCTCAATTAACAGCCATAAAACAGTCTCGCATAAAATAAAATTCGCCAAAAAAATGGAGGTTTTAAATTGGCATATAAGTATCAGTCAGCGAGTGAATCACGGCTAGCCAAACAGTCTTATTTCAAGCGTCTATTATTGACATTAACTACATATGATACCAATGAAACACGTCATGGAGTAGATAATCTGTCCGATTTTCGCAAGTTTAAAGAAGGGCATAAGCCTACCTTCATGGGGGCATATTTGGCATAGGGAGCTTGACCAGTTGCCATTTCGATGGTTGTGATTCCAATAGACCAAATATCTGCCTTGTGATTGTAGCCACCAGTCTGCAGAGAAGAAATGAATTCTGTTGATTAAAATGCTCAGAATTAAGTGCCTCGATCGCCGAAAAATCGAAAATGGCATACAGGTTTTTAGAAATAACATTTTGAACGAAGTGGTAGCATTTGCCTTCAGGCGTGTTTTTAACCAGTGGATGAGCTTATTAATAACACTTCCAACAAAAACCCGTGTGTACATAGTAAAAAACAGACACGCATTTCGAGTTTGAATTATCAACAAAAATGCCACCATTCTAGGTATCACTGATAATGAAACTAGCAAAACGAAGTGACCTACCTGCTGCATGACCTCAGGAGCCATCCAGCATGGTGTGCCGACAAACGTGAAGCGCCGAGGCCCTATACTGCCCGTCTCTGACAGCGGTTGACTCGCCAGAAAGCCTGCGACACCGAAATCGGCGATCTGAATTACGCCATCGTCTTTCACCAATAAATTTCCACATTTTAGATCCCTTGAGGGAGGTAAATAACAAAAGCATCGTAGCAAAATCTGAAAGTGCATCAATGTAGGCCTCGAAACAATGAGCGGAGTGGTAGAGGGCAATACCGAATAAATGCATCTGTTTTTAGATACCCTTATGAATGCTTTATACCTATCGAAACGCTCAACAAAATAGTAAAGGCGTGTCAGAAGCGATGCTGTTTGACCTCAGATAAATGGACAATGCACTTTAAATATCGAATTATGACAGCTTTTTTGCGAGTATATCTTGTGTTTCGGCTCTCAAAAGCAGCAGTAAACCAGGAAGAAGTAAGTGTTCGTGTTAACTAAACAAAAAAATAAACATTCACGTAATTGAGGTTAGTCTAAACATACCAGTCAGGAACCTATCTTTTTGATTGGCATCTACGCAGGAAAGATCATGAGAGCTTACAAATACCAGCTTAATGACATTGTTCATCCAAGGAAATTCGTAAATTAGCAAAAAAAATGAGATTAAGTTCGAATGAAGATGGCATCCACTGCTTGTAAATCAGATGCGATTACAGGTTCATAGGCATGTTTGGGTCACAAGGAGACAAGCAAAAATCAAAGGTCAAATCGACGAAACAATTAACAATGGAACGATAATTGCAAGCATTATCATATCAGTAAATTAGCGACACCCACTAACAAATGGTACGCTTCTATCATGACATCCAGTCACTACCTTTGATGGTGGAAAAATAGTTTACGGGAAGGAATTCAAATCCATTGGCAAAAATAGAGCACTCCAAAGATCCTAATCAAGTGTGCCCTGACTGTTCTTCACAATATGTAATTGAAAATGGAAAAAAGCGCCCTCAAGCCCACTCCCAAAGTCCGTTTATACCTGCAGGTATTCAACTCGACAGAGAACGCCAATTCTCCTGCAAAAGACTTGCAAATCAATCAGTAAAAGCCGATAAACGACCCAATGTTTCGCTCTTAGCTTGTTTGTTACGACACACATTCAGCCGTTAAACAATCCTACTCACCGATGAACGAGGCCGCCCTCGTGAATGTACGCGAGACCACGCAGCACATCCCTTAAGATCGTAGCGATTGTATACTCATCGAAGACACCATATGTTATATCTCTTTTGCTTTGAATAAATTTAATAACATCGAGTAACGAACCTACAACAAACAAGATCTGACTTGATTATGTCCCTATGTACGCCATTCATAACAAGTCATTAATTCGGCTGGGTCTGAAACTGCTTTAGAATAATTACCTCGTTGACAAAGGTCCATTACAATACAAAGTTCAGTTTTGTCCACGAATGAGGCATAATAAGCAACGATATTTTCATTTTTCATGTTCTTCATTGATTTTATCTCACGCTGGAGAAAAGTTGGTAACATTCGAACAACCTACGTTAATTTCTTCAAGAGAGGCCGATGTGCTGGACTTATCAAGGTTGATTATTTTCATTGCACATTTTCGATTGAGTGGCTTGCACAATGCCTCGTGCACCACAGATGTAGCGCCCTGGCCTAAAGAGTGTAAAGAAATACACTGACGAACCGATAGATTTTATAATCTCGTAGGCCGTGCGAGTAACAGGCCACTGAACATTCGCCTCTGAAGATGCTCCAGAATTTAAAGAAGTCACTGACATCCCGAGTTGTCGATATGATACAAGGTTTTTCACCGGAACAACTTCAAAAGTCCGTCACCTTATTCCTGATTCGAATTACGAGTCAACTTCTAAACAAAACGCATAATTGAAATGCTGCGAGTAATACGCCAAAGTACGGGAAAAGGAACAAAGAGTAGGCAACGTTACAATCTACAAACAATGTCAGACATGATTCACACTAAGGAAAAGAAAAAATAAAATAAAAAACAAAACTGGAGCAGGCACCCTCAGACAAAGCATAACAGTGAACTTCACCGTGGTCATCTAAAACACCGCTACCACCACAGAAGCTATCAAACAAACATTTGCAAAGCCCACACACACGAGCCAATGTTATAACAAACTTTATAGCCCTTTTTTAATTCTTGGCTATTGATAGTCGCATAAGTTATTTATTCGTCTTTATGAGGTCTACTGACTATGAAACTGTTGGATTTTACAACTATGTAGTTACTGTAGCTCCTAAGGATATTTAGCTTTATGAAGACAAATTTTAAAAATATATGCTTATTGTATTTAGTGTGTAGACCGTATGCATGATTTTGAGTCATCACTTTTTAGGTGGGTTCATGGAACCTTCATAAAACGCTGTTTGGCTGATTTACATGTTAATAACAAAGAAATAAGAAAATGGGCGAAGGTGTTGTTGACATTCTGCAAAGTCCATAAAAGACGACATACTTTTTAAAGTTATAAAAGTGCATGCAGCGGTGCTTTTTTTCTGCTGTAAGCGCATCTCACTTGGTAAATACCATAGTGATCGGAGTGAAACGTTCCTCTTTTCCCCTTATTGACCGCCCTCTTCAAAGCTTCGGATCATTCCATGCAGTCTGCCGATAACGCAATGAACTGTGGTAAAAAATGGGGCAGTAGGTATGTCGTCTCTGATTTGAGAAGTCAAATACTTAATCCGTTTATATGGAGAAGGATATTTTGACACAGCAGCAATCACGAGACCGAAAGAATTGTTTCTTAACAAGGCGAAGGAAACCACATAAGTGCAAACTATCAGTCTGAATCAAATAACTCTGAATCGAAGAGAATTCTTCTACAGAAATATGCAACGCTTTCGTCCTCACTGTCCTTGTCATTCACCCCAGCATTCTCAGAAGGAGAGATGTTTGAAGAAGATTTCTTGAACATTTCTACATAGGTACTAGTGAAAATATAGTTACAGCAAGGTTATCCGATCTAGGACTGGGAAGGATCCTCGCACCTCACTTAAAATGCGTCTGATTTGAGTTTGCATCCATCCTTTACCAAGTACAATTTAAACAACCAATAATCAATGCATGTTACCTTTCTCAATTTGACCCTTTATTTTAGCATTGTTCATTGAGTTTGATTTCTGACCTAGATCTATTAAAGAAATTCAACAGTGAGACTGAGCATGGTGCGTTTCCTTACAGAAAGGGATATCCCGCTATCAATAACCACTGGTCGTTTTATACCTGCTGAAGAAGAACTTCTAATGACATTGCAATATTTTATTTGGCTGCCCCTGATGGGTTGCATCGATTCTTCTAGAAGGGCTAGTTCTTTGGCTATTCCTAAAACCTATTTCCCATTCCTTTGGCCCTAATTTTCACATTTACCTCAAGCGCAATGCTCTCTTATGGATGGAGAAACCAAGAGAGGCTGTAGACGCCATGCACGCCTTGAAAACCTGCTCTTCCTCGAATCATACTTAGTAATCTTATCTACATATGCTTGATTTATCTCCTAGGACATTCCTATGCATAAAGTAGCCATAATATACCAAATTTAATTCAAATAATCCCGGTTTTAACACTTTCTCGAACATGTGTATTTACGTTGCTTTTGCCGCGATCGAGACTCAAAAGAGACGTTATTGTTGGTTTTCACTCAACGAGAAGTTCAAAGCGTATTGAGCC